TGGGTTTGGGATATTTTGGGATATTTTGGGATATTTTGGGACATTTTGGGGTGGGTTTGGGTCCCACCTGGGAGAAGATGAGCAAGCTGTGGTTCTGGGGGTGGTTTTGGGGTATTTTGGGATATTTTGGGATGGTTTTGGGACGATTTTGGGGTCCCACCTGGGAGAAGATGAGCACCCTGTGGTTCTGGGGGTGGGTTTGGGATATTTTGGGATATTTCAGGGATATTTTGGGGTGGGTTTGGGTCCCACCTGGGAGAAGATGAGCACCCTGTGGTTCTGCTCCTTCAGCTTGCGCAGCATCTTCTGCAGCAGCAGCAGCTTCCCCGAGGCCTTGATCAGCGCCCCGCCCTCGTAGGCGCCGCTCGGCAGCTTCGGGGACTCCTGGGGACAGGGACACCGCCAGGTCACCATGGGGACAGCACTGTGTCACCCACAGGGACACCGCCAGGTCACCATGGGGACACCGCCAGGTCACCCACGGGGACGGTCACCATGGGGACATCACCCACGGGGACACTGCCAGGTCACCCATGGGGACACCGCTGTGTCACCCACGGGGACACTGCCAGGTCACCCACAGGGACACTGACAGGTCACCATGGGGACATCACCCATGGGGACACTGCCAGGTCACCCACGGGGACACCGCCGTGTCACCCACAGGGACACGTGTCCCCCCATGATCTCCATGTCCCCTGCTCCTCCATCCCGTGTCCCTCTGTCCCTGCTGTGTCACTCCAACCCCTTCTTGCCCCCACATCCATGTCCCCAAGTCCCACCAGCCCACATCCCTGCGTCCCCTCCTTGGACCCATGTCCCCCCACACCCCCAGTGTCCCTGTGTCCCCACACCCCCGACTGTCCCCATGTCCCCAGTGTCCCCCCACTGTCCCTGGTGTCCCCTCCGCACCCACAGTGTCCCTGGTGTCCCCATGTCCTCCTACAACCCCAGCTATCCCCATGTCCCTGGCTGTCCCTGTGTCCCCCCACACCCCTGGCTGTCCCCACGTCCCCCCACACCCGCAGTGTCCCCAGTGTCCCGGTGTCCCCATGTCCCCCCACACCCCTGGCTGTCCCCCCCTCCCCCCCCACCCCGGG